AATCAAAATTTTCATAATATGACGAAAATATTAAATATTTTAACAAAATATTCCGATTAATCACGATTTATCATTCTGATTTATCAGCGATTTTGAAAAACTCGTTCTGTCTATCATAATCGTGATTAAACATCAATTAATCAGCGATTTCGCTCTAAAATATGATTAATCGCGATTTTACGCCGATTTTTTTGAAAGTCACAAAAATCGCGGTGATTTTCTCGACATGGGATGCCTATCCATTTGTAAATATGACTTCGACGCGAAATAGAGATTCTAACTATTGATTTATATAATAAATTTAAAGATTTTAGTCAACATACTGCAAAAACGATAACGTAAGAATGATAAGAGGAAACAAGAACAACATTTCAAAGATAATACGATAATCTTCTCTTATCGACAATTCAATATATAAATGTAAAAGAATCCTCATAGTATGAAATAAACTGGTCATGTCGAAACTAATATATTTAATGTTATATGCATTACAATATATCTATTACGCTGATGGACAAAAGACGCAAATAATGACACCTGTTGAGACTTGTACTCTATCAACTGCTACGCTTCGTTGTCCACTTAATTCTGTGGTTGTTGTTACAAGCGCTGTATATGGTGTAGCACAAATAGTTGGTTCATGTACTTATTGGCCCGGTGATTGCATTGTTGATGGTATGAATGATATTATTTGTAATACAGATTCTCTTCAATGTACGGTATATGCAACGAAAAAGAAATTGTCACAATGTAATAATCAAAATAGTAATTATATTCATATTGAATACAATTGTGTACCCGTACAGATGGATGACGCATCGAAAGAATATAATATTTGTAACAATAATACTAAAATAACAAGTGATAGTGGTATTATAAAATCTCCAGGTTATCCATCACAATTCCAGGCAACTACATCTGAATGTTATCGTACTATACATGTGCCTAATAATAAAACTCTTAATTTGTGGCTGAGTGATTTATATATTTCTAGTGCAGAGAATTGTCTTCGGAATTATGTATATGTCACGAATAGTATACAAAATTATCGACACTGTGGTTATAAGCGATATGCATATCCATATTTATGCTCATCAACCATTCGTATTCAATATTATGCATCAACCACAGCTTCATTTTATCGTGGTATGAGAATATATTATGAAATAGTTGATCGAACACCAAATGATTTTTGTCCAAATTCAAATGAAACAATCACACCTGTTGTATCGTCGACCACAACAGTACCATCGGATGTAACGACAACTGTGCCCAGTTATGCTTTATTAGGGGTTTCTTCACCAATTCGAAATTTTCAACTATGTAGAGGTGAACTGATTTATTTTCCTTTGCTATCAATTTAAAAATGATTCGATAATCTCTTGTTCTTTTCCCGTTTAGGTGAGTCACATAAAGTCGCATGTCCATCTGATTATGTAATTACTATCCTAAAAAGTATCTATGGTGTCACTCAATCTGATCAATGTGAAAATTACGACGCTAGGGAGCATTGTGTTGTTGCAACCGATCCATCTCTACATTGTACTGAAAGTTGTACATATTTGTACACTGGCAATCGAATTCTTCCATCATGCGGTAACAAACCTGCAGCTTATCAATATGTTGAATATCAATGCATTCCGAGAAAAGCTCCAGTTGTAACACCAAATACTCCATGTCCAATAGATGGCTCAAAGATTCCTATTACAATTGATCGTCGTGGTCGTTTTCGAAGTTATCAATATCCAAATTTAAGAGCAATGAATTGTACGTATCGCTTATCGACTAAACCTGGTGATATTATGCACATTTATTCACTCGATGTCAATCTAAATGATTGGTCAAACGATTGTGGAGCGAATAAAATCTCAGTTGTGGAAGATGGTGATACTCGAGGTACAGAATTTTGCAAAGAAGACACATTTAGTTTACTTTATTCAACTTGTTCAAATGAAATTGATCTTTATTATATTGTTACTAATGATAATTTGATATTATCCAATGGTGTTGAACTATATATTGAAAGTCAAACACGTCCATTAGATTGGTCATGTGGAAAATCAGAAACAACATCAAGTACTCAACCATCTACTCTAACAACACTATTCATTACTCCCACAGCAGTACCATTAACAAATGAAACAACAATGATGGCTCGTGATGAACATCAACATAATATATGTTATGCGAAATCATTAATCTATACATGTCCAATGGGTTATACATTTATGATACTTGATGCTTTTTATGGTGTAAAAAGTCAATCATCAAATAAATGTGAATTTGTTCCAGGTGATTGTGTACAAGGAACATTGTCAACATTTACACAATGTCAAAAGGATGCAGCTACTTGTTATATTTTTTATTCAACACAACGTCGACTTGCTCGATGTTCTGATCGATACGCAGATTATTTACATATAACTGGCCAATGTATACCAAGTACATCAGCAGGAACAACAGCAACTATTCAAACATATAATGTTTGTGATAACAACACTAATATTGGCGCTTTTAATGGTATCATAACTAGTCCGAGTTTCCCATTGTACAAGCAAATAAATGGTATTTGTAAACGTTCAATACTTGGTATACAAGACAGAGTTTTAAAAATTTGGATCAATGAAATACTTGTTTCAACTGATGGTCAACGTCGCATAAATGGTGAAGATTTTTTTGTAGAAGATTCAAATGAGCCCGATTTAGTTCTTCATAAAATGTATGAAAATGAAATAATGGAATCAAGTCCATCAATTCGTGATATTTGTATCAATGATTATTTAATGATCGATACTCCACATGTTACTTATGTTTATTGTGGTACAAGAAAATTAGCAATGATACCGATTTGTGCATCACGTGTAAATATTCAATACAAAGCTTCATCTCCATCAAATATTGACTATAAAGGCTTCAAACTCTATTTTGAATGGGTAGAAAAACCTCTTGAAATCATTTGTGATGAAAAGCCTGGTCTATCAGCAATAACACCTCCTGATATGCCAATTCCTATCTGGGCGCAACATTTCGAACTTTCACCAGTACTTTCTCATCATATTTGTCTTGGAAATTCACAAACATTCCGATGTCCTCGTGGAACTGACTATGTTCTCACAGTAATTCAATCGAAATATGGTGTAACTGGTACAGGTATGTGTGAAATTCCATCAATAACACATTGTCAACAAGAAAGTTCACTCGGTTTAACATGTACACATTCATGTTTTATTGAATATGATCTTCCAAAACCATTAATACAATGTGGACTTCAAAATGCTGATTATCTTAGTATAGATTATCAATGTATTCCAACACGTCTATCAGATAATGAGAATCCTATCGATATTTGTGCATCAACAACAACAGATACAATCGCAATGAACTCAGGTATTATGATTAGTCCACAATATCCGAATTTAAATGTCAAACGTACATGTTCAAAACGTATTGAAACATTACCCAATAAATTATGGAACATATTTATTGTTGATCTATTTTTGGAAGGATCAAATGATGGTGGTGATTGTAATGCTGCATCATTAACAATTAATGATGGAGATGATCGAATTGTTCTTTGTGGTTTACATCAACCTGAACTTATTCTTGTGAGTTGTTCACATATTGTCGATTTGAAATTTGTTTCAAACCGTCGCACACTTGGTTATCGTGGTTTTAAAGTTTTCTTTCAAACGATTGATGTACCTGCTGGTTGGACATGTACACCCAACGGTTTTACAACAATAACACCAACACCTCGACCACCAACCACCACAGGTGTCTTACCACCGAGTCTTCTAAGTATGTTCAATTTTAGTTTTTAATAAATATTCTTCAAATATTATTTTTCTTTTATGTTAAAAGTTGGTGCTTATGGTGGTACAACAAATGGAACACGTCGGCATTGTATCTTTCCATTTATTTACAAAGACAGTATACAAACAGGCTGTTTAACAAGTGATTCACCTTCATCACCACTGAGTCGAGGTACAAAGACACCGTGGTGTTCATTAACAAGTAATTTCGACATTGATCATCAATGGGGATTTTGTGAATTAGGTGTTACTGACTCAACAACTTATGATGTATGTCGTGGAAAATCACAAATACTTCGATGTCCAATTGGTTATGTTCTTGATATAATAACTGCTGATTATGCAGCTAAATCTGAGGAAAATACTGACACTGAGTCATGTTCATATAGTCAAAATGATTGTTTTCAAAGTGATTCAACAATACTTCGAACTGTTTGTGCTGGTAAAACAACATGTACAACTTATCATACTTCGAAAATTTTAACACAATGTCAAAATCGAGCAAGTGCTTATTTTCATGTTATTTATAGATGTATTCCAAATGAAATACAAGAAATTAATGTATATAATTTGTGTAATAATGATACACAACCGACGAATGATACTGAACGTGGTTTTCTTATCTCACCAAATTTTCCCAATACACCAAATAATTTCGATTGTACATTTAAGTTACAAACAATGAAACCACGTCAAGACATTTATGTTTATATGATCACTATGGATTTAAATAGTCAACCATCATTTGGACAATCATGTGTAAAAGACCGATTAGTTATTTCTGCTACTAATAACATGATGGAACTGTGTGGTAAATCATACACAAACCTTGTATTAAATACATGTCAATCATCTGTAACATTTCAATTAATTCGAGCACTTGATGCTAAAGGTCGTGGGGTGAAATTGTATTTTGAATTTCGTGATCGCCCACTCGATCAAATATGTCCAGTATTATATACAACAACAAAACCTGTATCAACAACATCATTATCACCAGGTACAACTATTCAAACACAACGTCCAAGTTATTTTCCTCATCCAAGTCCTGTGAACATTAAAATTTTATGTTATCCAGACATTTCATCATTATTTGGTACTGATAATTTTCAATGTCCAAAGGATTATGTTTTAGTAATTCATCGAGCATTTTATGGTACAGGTGATCGATGTACTTATACGTCCATAGGGTGCTAAAAAACAATTTTAGGACTTGTTCGTAAGATTGCCCTTGGAGATAAGCACCTAAAGTGCGCCAAAAACGACGAAAAAGTTTCAAGTGAATTTCTTTATGAGTAAAAATTTGACGTGATTCGGAAATCAACTTTAGCATCCTATTATATGTTTGGTCGGTGTTTTTTCGAACGAATTGCTTCTGGTAACACCATACCGCCTCTATTGGATTTAATTCACAATGAAACTTTGGTAGAAAATGTATCTTGACGTTTTATTTATCAGCAAGTTACTCAAGACGTAATGTCTAAACAAGGGTGCTACAGGAAAACGTGTAATATTTGTCAATTGAACTTACAATTTTAAATGCAGGATGATTAGATAAAATGTGTCTCATTTGTTCAAGCTTTACTCTCGGTGGTAATTTAATTTGAAGATCTTTGCTAATTTCAATTAAACCTTTACTTAAACCTTTGTTAGGTCCTGTTTTGAAAAAAACAATCTACTACATGTTGTTGGCTTTGTGAATCAATATATTCAACAGTATCCGTTGTACATTTGGTACCGATGGATTTTCCGAAATCCAATAAAGAGTAAGCTTTCGCTGCGTGGGTGGTGGCGTTATCCACTACAACTTCGATAGTATGATTTTTAAAATCATTTTTAAATCGTAAGAGTTTGAACAAGCGTTCGAATTGAGAAAGAATTGTGGAATTATCGAAATATGAGTTGTAACCGACATCAATAGATCCTGTAGCAGTTTTCTCTATGTAATTAACGTCATCGTCATACTTTGCTAGTTCAGGAAATGTTTCTAATGCTTGTTTGTACTCTTTTTCATCTAATGTGAAGAAAGGACCCGATGGGTGCATTATTAAATAATCACTAATCATGACAGATCTTCCTCGACCTTTCGAAAAAAACGGTGCATTGTTTTCAAAAACCCATCTCTTTGCAGAAACTTCTCCTGAACGAAAAGTGGTTTCATCATGAACTAAAAGAAAATACCGACACGTATTCAAAAATGAAGCTAAGCTCTTGTTAACAACTCTACTCACATATTAAAACAGATGCGGGACTCTGAGTAGGCATTTTCCAAATAGGACTTTCATCATTTGATATCATGTAATAATGATCCTTCTTTTCGAGAAAGTATTTGATAAACTCTTCACGATGGCTAACTATATCAGGTCGCTCGTGACCTTCAAAGTAAGGTCTCTTTGAGTTCGAATCAAATCGAAATCCCAGCGGCGAAGGTCTAAACGACATGAATCCACAGATCGGACAAGGTGAAAGTTCTTATCTTTCGTCGTATTTGCTATTTCATAATACTTTTCATCAATGAAAGACGCGAGGTCTTGAACAGTAAAGTCGGCTGATTTACTACTACAACGTTCAACTGCAAATACTTTTGCCGATAATTCAAGCTCGGGAAATGTTTCATAAAAAGTTTCAATATGCTTTCCACCACGATTGTCTGCGCAGAACTGATCGATATCACCTGATACAAAAATATCCACCCATTTCTGACATGTTTGACTTGATAATGATCCGATTTCTTGGGAAAATAAATCACAATCACGCCATGTAATGTTAAAATGTCTTAAACTCATGTATAACAAAACACTGAGAAATTTATAACTACAATTGTTTTTGCACAATTCAAAAATATCCGATATATCAGTTAACTGAACTTTATCTCCAATGTTCGTTGATAGGCTGGTTGTATCTTCATTAATTTTCATTTCCTCTTCAGCTGAATCAGAAGAGCTTTCACTATTCTGATGATTATTTTTATCAAGCAAACGTAAGTGTGCCATTGCACGTTACGAGAATGAGAACGACGTCTTGATACTTTTGGCATGTTAAACACAGTTCTTCGAAAATCAAAATACCAATCTGAAAGAGTCCCAATACAAAAACGTATGCCACTTTTTAGCTACTCGAAACAGAAAAACGGCATGATATCCATTTAGAACTAAAACAGCTTTCGATATGATGCATGACTGTGACAAAATAGAAAAATGGGTAATTTATCCCCATTACAATACATGTCATTAATATGACTCATCTGGAAGATAATGATTGGAGAAAATTTCTAGCCTATCTTCACTAACATCAGTGTGATAAACCAGAGGCCGCTTGAAACATCAACACATATTGGATGATTGTACAAACCGAGAAGCTCCTCCAACAATCATTCACTATATCCTTCGACATAGAGAGGAATTTTTTCAGTCGAATACTTAATTCCAACAACATCTTCCAAAAACCTATATCCCTTCTTTTCTCGAAACTTAATTAAAAAGTAACTGTCTACTACTTCTTAACCATGCTAAATACATGTCTGACAAGCACTTCTTGTGATTAAAACGGCTCTCGATTGATTCCACTAACAGTTTCTTTCAAAACAGGAAAAATATTTTTCAAAACGCAAATCTCAACAGAAGACTTTCACTTTGTCGTCAACTGCAACCTATGAAATCTACTCTATGATAAATTATTCAACATATCCCACGTTTTCTAAATATTATCATTAGATTCCTCCTGAAATTTCGCGTATCGTAGTATGTTTTATCAAGGTATCAGTTAAAAAAGTGATACGTAGTGAAAAGTGATTTTCCTGATTCAAATGTAAATTTGAAAAACAACTAAAATTCTCATCAATGAAATGAAATATTAAAAAACCAAAGTTATACTTTTGAAGCGCATTGTCTGGCGGTTCTAGTGATATATGAAACTTAACTGTATGTTGACATGTAAAAAAGTAGATAGCTTCGCAAAAATATCCACGAACTACTATTTTCTCTATTTTTGTTACACTTTCGTTTATACTATTCATCAGCATTTTTCCACTAAGGAGCATTAAAAATAGGTTTAGCGGATGCAGTTTTTCAAGGAGAATTCGGATAAGTAGTTTCCATAAATTGAATAGGCTGAAAAAATCGGAGATTTTGCAAAAAGTATTGAAAGACCGATTTTTGTATGAAAAAATGACTTATTGAGCACTATCGAAAACAATCAATTTTTTTTTTCAATAAAATGATTGAAAAAAATATTAAAACATATATATTCTGACTCAGCTCGATCAGCTCTATCTAACTATATGAAAAAAAAGCAAAAAAAATTTGCTTGAATTTTGCACAAGGTGCACCTTATATATACATAAAGCAATGTGAAGAATGTTTCGAACTATTAGTAGAAAATATTCTTTTGTTTGAATTAATCTTATAGAGATAATAAGCTGATTTCAGTCATCGTAGAGCTCATCTATTAGAAATCAATTCATTTTTGAAGATAAAAAGAATCAATCAAAATGATGTGTATCTTCTACTGACATTGTCAGTGTTAGTATTATATGACTATATAGCTTATTGTATTATAAATGAAAGCCAGTAAAAACATTGTCAGGTGATATTTTTTTCAGTGTGCTCATTTGATGTAAGTAAATAATAAGGTCTTGAAATGTTTTTTTTCTTAACAATTTGCTATAACAAGCTCAGGAGAATCTCTAGTATTTAAAATGAAAAGTTAATCTAGTACAGGCTATTCTACACCCTGAGTATCTTTTCGTGATTTGTATCCCATCTTGGGAAAATTAAAAATTATAGGAACAATAATTCACATCGTCAGAAACAGTCAATAAGGATAATTTCGTCTAGAGCTGTTTATCACACGTTTTTCTCTAAAAAAGAATACTTTGAAATCTTGTTATCTACTTCACATGATAATGCATTTACTAATCCTCGTATTCATAATACAAAAAAGTATATGAAAACATTATTATTATGGAAATTATTTCAGAAAGTCTGAAATTTTCTCTCTAATAATAAGATCAAAGAATGTGATGTTTAATGCATGTGAAATAAAAATAATGACGTCAATCCCCATTTTTTTAAAGATTTTATTTCTTCTCTCGTCATTAAAATGCTACTTTTTATTCATACATTTACGGAATATGATTTCATTTGAAAAATGTTAGAAGAGGAAATACTAATGCGCATATAATATTAATTTGACGTCGTTTTATAAGAAACAAAATGTGTCTTTTAGGCAAGGTAGTCAGATTTTCTGAAAAGTCAGGAAAAGTTCTGAAATTGCAAAGTTCGTTCTAATTTTTTAAAAATATTTTCTAAAAATTCAGAACATTTAAAATCTAAGTATTTAGCTAATAGTATCAGACAAAATCATCGGTGTGAAGCTAGCACGAAGGAGCTAGCACGAACAAACGATGTGTTAGGTAAAAACTTTTTTACTAAGTATGTCCCGTCCATGAGAACTACACCATTCGACTCAGAATTTAATTCTGCATCGAATGGTGATGCTTTCATTCGCCGGACAAATTTTGGAAAAGTTCTATCTGGATTATAAATAGACATAAAGGAAACAAACAAAGATATAGATAGAAAATTTTCCAAAGTTTGTCCGGTGAATGGAAGTGCCACTATTCGATGCAGAATTGAATTCTGAGTCGAATGGTGTAGTTCTCATGGGCGGGACATACTTAGTAAAAAAGTTTTTACCTAACACATCGTTTGTTCGTGCTAGCTCCTTCGTGCTAGCTTCACACTGATGATGCTCACTTGCAAGTGAACACTGCCAGTTGATCACATCATCCACCATCACATCACAAATTAATCATTCTGAAGATCACTCTGTTCAAGTGTGATGCTCACTTAGAATTGGATGACGAGAAAAAGGAATGCGATTCGTAGGAACAGGTCGGAGGTACAGCGCACACAAATATGGTATTCGTGAATCTTGCTCACTTGCAAGTGAACACTGCCAGTTGATCACATCATCCACCATCACATCACAAATCAATCATTCTGAGAATCACTCTGTTCAAGTGTGATGCTCACTTGCAAGTGAACACTGCCAGTTGATCACATCGTCCACCATCACATCACAAATCAATCATTCTCATAATCACTCTGTTCAAGTGTGATGCTCACTTGCAAGTGAACACTGCCAGTTGATCACATCATCCACCATCACATCACAAATCAGTCATTCTCATTATCACTCTCTTCAAGTGTGATGCTCACTTGTAAGTGAACACTGCCAATTGATCACATCATCCACCATCACATCACAAATCAATCATTCTCATAATCACTTTGTTTAAGTGTGATGCTCACTTGCAAGTGAACACTGCCAATTGATCACATTATGCGCCATCGTGGAGTCTTTGGATACTACCACAGTTATCGAAAGCTGTTCACGATACGCGTATCTTGTTACCTCTTAGTGTATCGATATATACCATTAGGGATGGTATGAAATTCACACAGAGTTAATCGCAGCGATGAAAGTTTTCGAGAATCCGATGTTTTCTGCATTTTATATGCTTTGGTGTTTACGCTATACTCTCACTGTGTTATATATGAATATTATCTATTATCACAGCTAGGATACTGACAAACGTAGTGTTTGCGGTTTGATGATACTGGTATGTTTTTCTTGTTCGTATCTAAATATAGAAATAGTGATGGTATATGAAAATTAACGTTAGTAAGTGACTAAAACATTGGGAATGATAACGAAACAACTTAATTATGAATAGATTAGAGAGGATTTTCATCAGAGAATCGGCGGTATATCATTGACAGGACTTATGGTATGAAATTACACTAGATAAACAGATTTCTAAGCCACCCTCATCCTGCATGAAATAATTATGAGTGTTTTTCTGCAGCAAAGAGGAAAAGGGAACCGAGGAAGAGTGAATAAAAGATAGTGTCAATACAGAGCGGGATTTATTCGCTGGAAGAATTGAACGCATAGCCCACACATGCATTGAATTTTTATCATTCGCTATAGTATTCACTATCAAGCATATATTATCTAATCGTAAGCACTAAAATGGATCTCATTGGTAGAAACGTGCGTTAACTCGGTAATGTTCTAGTTGTTTATACATTTGTGTTTCTTATATTGCCTAGATGAATAGTCGTTTATGGATGAAGCTCATGAAGCTGGTCACATAATATTCAAATGATGAATAGCTGTGCGCTTGCCGAGATGCATATTTTCACACGCGTCTGGAGCAGTATGTCACCTCTGCGGAACAAAACTGTTTAGGTGAGTGTTTTCAGTCGCAATATTTCCATGAATACACTTTTCTTAGAATAATTTCAGTAAACTCACTCGATGACGCTGGTTTCTTCGGTACCGGGACTGCTGAAGTTGATGATACTTGTTTTGGTTCTAGAATAGTAGAAAAAATGACTGGATTATTTCTTTGATTAATGCTCTACTATCAAAAAGGCAATATATTCATATTGAAGCATACGTGTGTTCTTTGATGGTGATTTTAATGTCATAGAACCCACAGCTGCCGGTAATGATTCCCGATCATCACCATCGTCATCGGAAACTTCAATCAAGTGAACAATGTGCAATGTACCATGTTGTAGTGCGTTGGCTTTCACACGTAGTTGAGTGCCCGGTCCTAATATAACTTCTTTTTCATCGGGAAAACTTGTGTATCTACTAACATCTTTGGCGCTTTTAGTTTCAATCATCAAAAGAGTGGCGTTTATGTTCTTTCCCAAAAAGTCTTGAACAACATCGACTTCCACTGAACATGAGCTAATGCTCCACCATGTTAAGAGTTCACCTTTCTTGAATTGCTGACTGACGTTACCAGATATTCCTCTCCACACTGACGTTTTCACGACAGGTAGCTTCGAGAGAGCTGTGTCGAAGAGTTTCAGGAAGCCGAACCAAGATCGTAGTGCTCGTCGGTTTTCGGAGCGAAGAGCTTCGTTTAAAATGCGATAGAAGCTGTTGTCTCCGCCTTCCATAGTATAGAGAT